CACCGTCCTGCTCCGCTCATTAGCGCATGTGGCGCGGGACAGACGACGCAGGACGCGTTCGAGTCTTCGCCCTTACATGCTGCGATCACACGGGCATTCGTCGATGCGGTCATGCGTCAGGAGCCTTTCAGCCGCGGTGCGATCGCCTGATCGCGTCGCGAGGACTCGGCTCCTGCACGAGGGCCATGTCATGCCATGTAATCTCATGAGGGAACATGAGGGGGCGGTGGGTCTAAGTCGGACCCCGGTGTCGGACGCGTCACTCCACAGGTTCAGCTTCGGGCTGCGCACGGCACACCGCGCACATCGCATTGGCTACACCACGCCGAGAACCGAGAAGAGAGAACTCGAGGTACTCGAGGTGCCGCGTGCCGCAGTGCTCAGCAGGCGGAGCACGGTCCACCGGCCACATGACCGACAGTTTGCGTTCCTCGCAGCACACCTTTAAGCACCACGATTCAATTCCGCCAGCTGTTGCCGAGGTATTTTCGAACCTTGGCCACTGGCTCCCCTCTTCCGGCAGATGATCACATTCACAACTTGAATGAACCGTTGTGTCGAGAGAGCGCCTCGTAGGTTAAGTGATTGCAAGGTTTGCAGAGTTGCGTGATGGCCGAAGCGAAGTCCCCTCCTATTGCACCCACTTGCCCAGGTGAGTGTCCTGTACTCGACTCTCCGAATCGGTGGTCTCATTCCTCGTTTAGCCAGCTCTGACATCTGTGACAGTTGCATCAGAAACTGACAGGTTCACTGCATTCCTCGCTTGAGTCGATTGAGGGTTGTGAGATTCTGCACAGCGACATTTGGTGTCGTCGCAAGTCGCCAGGCGCCTCATTTGAATGCCGCTCTATACGATCTACCATTTGAGTTGGCTCTGTCGTTCATTGTGTGCTTTCCATACCCCGATAGCACGCGGTACTCTTGTGGTGCCCATCACAGCGCCGGCTACGGAGGTGGCCGACTCGGGCTGCGTCTCAGATATGCTCGAGAAAAGCTCATCAAATCTTGCATTCCACTGGCACATTGGATCAGAGTTGCATTCGTGTTCCATTCGTTGCAGTGATCGCTGTTGGCCGACGACTACCATAGAGACCCCGGTACGGAAGGTCTGCTCTGGGCGGGTCGTCACCCTGCCTCGTCTCGTGGGCGTCCCCGAGTCGGTCTCGTCTCGGTACATTCCTCAATGCCCTCAGCACAGGTCCGCTCCAAGGACAACCTCCTGGGCCTGGATACAAAGGCAATTCAGCGTCTTCTCTCCTGTGCAGCCTCGCTTCCAGAACATGACTTGCAATTGCTGTTTCGAGCATGTCTGGCGCTGCACTTACCACTTTCTGACACTCCACTGCCCACGCCTTGCATTTACTGAATCTGCGTCCGACTGCATCCGGCGGCACACCCCCGGATAGCGGCGAGCGGCCCCGCCACCTCCCCATGCCGGCCACCCCCCGCGGATCCGCCGTTGACGGGACCCGCTCCACAATCTCGGCCCTCGGACTCCTGACTGCCAGAATTCTGACCTGAAGTGACACCTGATGCGATCTCGACCGGCCATGAGCGGCTTATGCACTACTGCACTACGGCCGGCCAACCGGAGCCTGCCCTCTCGCATCCGAGGAACAGTGAGAGCAGCTATTCTGCAGAGCAACGTACATTCCGCAGTTTGTCCTGATGGTCTCAAGCCGGCACGTAATGCACAGGGAGTGGCTTAGGACTGGGGACTCAGGAGGGCTTGCAGATCGGCCATGCGCCATGTCTTGGGACGGTGGCTGTGGCTCATACATTCGGAGGTTTCCACCTACGATGAGCGTCATGTTGGATCCGAGGATGCTCCGCGCCGCAGATCGACTTGTGGGGCTCAGTGAGCGCTAAGCGCAGACAAATCTGCGCGAGCGGCATTGAAGGTCGCAGAGGTGCTTGGTAGGCACTGGTGTGAACCAAGCTGGCCCAAGTTTGTGCAAGTCCGGGCCAAGTCCGGCCAAGCTTGGTCTTGTCGGGACAAGTTCAAGCCAAGCGTGACAAGCATCTGGAAACGTCACCAAGCTCAGCCCGACGTTACGAAACTGACACTGGAAGCGCGCCAGAATCATCTGGAAAGTCTTCAGCGCTGGCGATACGAACAGCGGTACTTGTTAGCACGAGTGCGCTGGAACAGGCCGTGACGGATGTCGCGAGGGCGCCACGCCGCGATTGACAGCTGGGGCTTGGAAAGTGCGACAGTGAATGGATGTACCTACGCATGGGAGTCACCCTCGAGGCTAGTCATCACTCGGACCTCTGGGGATGCCGAGGAGGCGCCGACTCGTACCAAGCAACGCTTGGAGGCATTCCAAAGTAGGGGTGAACAGCTCGTGTGCTCAAGCGCATTCCAACGCCTCCGTGACAGCGACCATTAACTCGTGGCTAACTGAAACTACCCATCAACAAGCACAAACGCACAACCGAGAAGGTAACTCTGCCGGACGTGACTCATTCTCATGAAACCTGCCGGGTTCTTGCTGAGGGAGAGCCAAGTGTAACTCAAGCCATCCGGCGCAGAAGGATTGCTGATCAGCCACACCGAGCCTAGCGTCTGCCAGCCCGGCCCCTTTGTCCTTCAGCCCAACCGTAACTCGATGTAACTCTTCGGACCGGATGGAAGCTCACAGTGCGCGTGAAACTTGCCCGAACCCCTGCCCTGGCGTGTATAACGCCATTTGCGCCTTCAAAGGAGCCTACGACGTCGGCGTTGAAGCGATTAGGCGTCGAGCAACACCCCCAGTTTCTCGTTCCCGCTTGCTGTGCTCACGCTTGCTCACGACGTTAATCACGCACCTCACAAAGACGCGAGAGAATGCAGATATTGTCCCATGGGGCAGCACCATGTGCGCTGAAACGATCACCTAGCGGCTCGTACGGGACTGAACTGCCGGAACCCAACTGCTGGAAGATCGTCACCCCCACGCAACGGCTTCCAGGCAAGATCAAGCTTCGGATTGCCGGCAAGGGAAAGCATGTGCTGGTGCTGGTGCCGGCGAGGTGAGGCTGATACTGCGACTGGAATCTCCTCGAGTCTCCTTGTGTCTTGGGCCTGCCGATCCTTAACTAACCAGGTGTGTTCCAACTGATGTACCCAACGGCCCACTCGGTTCAAGACTGAAGTGTGTCAGAGAAGCATAACGGGTGTCTGCGACATGATGCGACAGCGTGCGACGCGCAAGGGACGAGCAGCTGTCACAGCAGTAACCCAGATTCGGCAGTTACTATGGGCATAGTCCTTCGTTACCAGAATTCTTGAGCGGACCGCATCCCGGCTCGTGCCCGTGGCACATGTCGTCTATTCATAGCGGGTTTCCGAGTATTCCGGTTCCAGCGCACCGTCCTGCGCACCTTCCCCTGGCTCACGCAAGAATCCGAGTTTTCAGCAGCGTGGTGCATGCAGATCTTCCAACCTCGAGGTGACCACGAGGATGCAAAGGGTTGACTTGCAACCGAGTGGGGGTTGGTTTGGCCCAGGGGTGAGCAACACCGAACACTAGGGGAAGCATAGCGGGCACGCGTCACCGGCGCGTCCGCTCGTTGGCTGTCAGTTCAGTGTCGCCGATGTCGGACACGGGATGCCGGCAGCGTCACCCAGCGTGCACTCGTACACCTCGGACGGCGTCGTGTGCGCGTTGCGATTGCGTTGCGCTGCACGCTTGCGTGCTCTTGGTCTGCGATCACTGCATTACTGCGGCGCAGGATGGCCACCGCATGCTGTCTTGTGCCACATCGCAACGGACTCTCCCAGTGTGATCAAGTGAGACGCCTGGGACATAAGTTGTCAACCGGTAGCGCGTCGACATACGCGGTCTGCAGGGCGACAACCTACGCTTGCGGACGCTAATGCGCACTTCCTGAGCGAACTGAAAGACCGAGACTGACCTCGGAGGCCGAAAGGTCCGACATCTACCGACACAATCGCACCATGCGCACCAGTGTGTTCTGATCGCACCATGTGCATCAGAGTGTTCTGAAGCATCCGGTCTGATTCTGATAGGGCAACGATTCCGGCCCCGATTCCAATGGCACTAGCGTCTCCTCCGTGTCTATTCTGTGTCTTGACCGGGGGCCACCCCGGTTTGCCTTCCGCTAACTCATTGAGCATTGAGCAGTTCACCGGAACGGGCCTAAGAAGTCGCGCCAGCAGGGCAACTTGCATCCGCCACGCGCACATGTAGGGTCATGCACCGCTCTCCCTACGATCGTTGAATCGTTGTTCCCGATCGCGATCGCTGCTTGCACCTGCACCAGTGCTTCAGGTGTCAGTGCCAGTAGCGTCAGTAGTCAGGACGGCGTCACGGACGTTATCCCCGTCGGGTGCTTCGTGGACGTGATCGTCAGATGGGCACCTTCCAGGACCGTGATGCGTTGATGATCCAGGGTATACACAAAGATAGGGGATATCCCTCGTCCCGAGAATAACGCGGGGTTCCTATCACATCGCCTTCTGAATGCTGCGGCGGTGCTTCCTGTGCACACCTGGCTTTGAGTCCGGGTGTGCATGCCGTGAGATGTTGCGAGTACTGCGGGCGGTCATCGCGGTCTCGGGTGCTGATCGCGAGACGGGCACAGCACTCGACGTCGTCACCGACAGCGAGCGTAGCGAGCAAGGAACAGGGACGCATATGGCACACCTGGTGCGTCCGGTCCGGAAGCCGGAAGTTCCTGCGTAGTAGTCGCCGCCTGCGGCTTCATCTCGTCTATTTCGGCCTCTATCGTATGATGCGACTACTTTTGAACGCTTGAGCATGACCGCGCGCGGCGTCACGGATGGGCTCTACGTGCGTAGAGCCGGTCCGAAACGACCGGCAATGTCAATACCAGCTAAACTTCCCCCCACCTTCTCCCCACTCAACCTTGCACCACGCGGTGGCCTCGTCTCGCTACGCAGTGTGCCTGCGGGACTGAGGTCGCAATGAGGTCGCGTTTCATCGCTCATGTTCACGCGCGGTCCAAGTTAGAAGAGGCAGTTAATGGTGGGCTTAGGCAGTTTTGGGCGCAAACGAGATGACGGCAAACTTGCCACTCGTGCGCCAGTCGGGCGCCTCCTTGTCGAGGCGCTCGGCGACGCCGGGCTGGAGACCGCAGCTGGACGTTAGCTGGCTTCCTGGGAGTGCTGCGACAATCCTCGCATGGGGTGGCCACTCGGCGATGTAGCGCCTTGGCCTGTTGGTGGTGTTGCAATCACGAGCCCTGCACCTTCACCCGTGAGACCGCTCCGATCTCCACTCACATGGTGTCCGCCTTGTTTGTGCGCAGCGAGACCAGGTTGAACTTGCCATTCAGTGGACCTACATGTTAGCTTGTCATTGCAGACACCGGGAAGTTAGATACGGCCGTTCACGACCGAACACGGTGAGCACGTTCGTCGCCGCCACTCACCAAGAGCCTCCTCAAATGGAGTCGTCGTGGGCCACTTCGCATCCCCGATCAGCTTGCGGTAGCTGGCATCAGCTTCGTCACCAGGATCGTCATTCCGCGCTACGGTCATCGCTCCACTCGTTCAGCAAGCTTCGCGCTACGCGGACTAACGTTGGCGCGCACTAAGAATGTGCGTCATGCGCCCGAGTCGCACCCGAGTAGACCCTAGACTCACTTCAGATCGCCCTTGAAAAGCACGAGGCCGGCCTTTTGAAGCTCGGCGAGGAGCGCAGGGTCCATCGCCGGGAGATCCTGGTAGGCGTACTGCGTCGTCCAGAAGTTGGCGGCTCCGGCGTCGGCACCCAGTGGGGTTGTGGGAGGAATGCTGAGCTTGAAGCGCCCAGCAGTCAGGTGGCCCATCCAACGGTCGGACAAACGCTTAAGCTCCTCCTTCTCGTCCGGGAAGAAGGACTCGTCCGCGAGTGTAGCGATCGTCCACCTGTTGTCAGTCACTCCTCTGAGCTAGAGCTACTCACTGGAAGTCGTGCGGCAGCACGTCCGACACGAACCACGGAATCGTCTTGGGGCTGATGTCAGTCCAAAGTTGCAGAGCGCTCAACTCACTGAAAGACAACCTGGGAGACGAAAGGTGTGCAGCTGACAAGGAAGTCGGCAAGGACAAGATCGGTGTACAGCTCGAAGCCGGCGTTGTCGAGGACAATGTCAACTCGACCGTCCTTCATGCCCTTGAGGACGTCCCAGACCTTTGTGAGGTCGTCGCGGAGCACGTGTTTCGCCTGCTCAGCCTGCGCGGCGGCGCCGATCGCCTGCAGCTTCTGCAGATCGGCGTAGTTCAGGTCGACGAGGAGCGAGAGGTCCGTCGCGTTCCCCCACAGGTCGGTCTGGATCATCTCCCTGCCTGTCAGCTCAAGCCGACGTTTGCAGCTCACCAGAAAGCGACTTCCATTGGGCTCTTGGGCTTGTCCCAGTCCTTCTGCAGCTCATCCTTCTTGTCGACAAAGCCGTTGACAACGCCAGCCAGCTGTCCGATCGCAAGAGACGAGGAGCGGTACGTCTCGACCTTGGATGTGAAGAAGGGGTCATACTGTTGCCAGTGCTGCGTCAGGGCGAAGAGCGACCGGAGAAGGCGGTAAAGGTAGCACTCAGCGAAGAGCCAGTTCATGGTGAACCACCGCTTCTCGTCCTCGGGCGTCTCGGCCAACGCATCGTTGTAGCACGCGCGGTTTGCGTTGCCGTCATCGGGAATCGGCCTGCAAGTCAGCTTACTGTCAGAGACCGCGGCGGCTTGGAATCCAAAAGATATCTACGACCCCTTGCAGTCTTCCACTCACTCGAGAACGGCGTTGCGGCCCATGGCGTGCTTCAGTGCGCTCAGCTGCGATATGATCTTCTTGCCCTCGGGCAGCTTCGGGTCATCGGGGCTCAGCTTGTGGATCTCATCCGTAATGGTCGACACGATGTTGGTGAGAATCACCGGCCATCGGCGCACGACAGTCGAATACGAGAAGCTGCTGTCAGTTATCGGCCGCGTGTTGTAACTGTTTGTTTACGCCCGGTTGATCGCGATTCAAGGCGCTACCGTTGTACACACCTGTCTTTGTCCTGGGGCGAGTAGCGCTCCGCTGGGGGCTTGTAGAGCTGGGCCATGATGTTTAGGTTGTGAGTGGGCAGTACCGAAAGTCTGGGAAGACGGTCGTCGGTGTCAAGTCATGCGGACGATGCGGACCTGAGGACCTGGCGGAGGTGGAGGTTCGGCTCAGCGGACTCGGATGCCGCTAGTTACCGCAAGGAAGGTCGTCTCATGTCTGCCTCGCGTGGTATTCCACACGGAACTCCATGCTTGTAACCTCATGTAGCAAGAGAGCATCTAAGATCTCCTCTGTTCCAATGCTTGCATTGTGCGCACTGCTTCGACAACCTCATGATGTGCGCGATTATCGCTGAGGGGATATTCCGAACCTTCTCCGGAATGGCGTCACGGCGTTCAGATTCGGACGACTCGACCCGCTTATCTGAGCGCCGCATGTTCCATCTTCCTCCATCTCGTCCAAAATCTTTCCCGCCTCTCCCGACTCTGCCCAACACACGACAATGGCGGAGCATCACCCGGATCACGTCCTGATCCTCTATGCGTCCGAGACCGGGGACGCCCAGGACGTCGCCGAGCGGGTTGCCCGCGCCTTCCGGCAACGACATCGCCGGGCTCTCCTACTCAGTATGGACGCCTACAATGTCGCCGACCTTCCTCATGAGCAGCTGCTTGTCCTTATCACTAGTACCCACGGTCGAGGTGACCCTCCGCCAGCTATGCGTGGTCTTTGGAGCAAACTCATCCGAAAGGGTCTGCCGGACGATATCTTCGAGGGTGAGCGGGATCCCCTGGCTACGGATTTCCGAAGACGAGGCTGACGTCAGACGTGCACTATTCACTCTATGGATTGGGAGACTCGAGCTACGAGCGCTTCTGCTTCGCTGGCAAGATGCTAGCTCGGCGCATGGACAGCCTTGGTGCTAACCCTCTCGTCGAGCCGGCATGGGGAGATGAGAGGGCGCCGGACGGGTGAGCCTTCCTTCCTTCGGCTCAAGTTATCAGGTTTAGCTGACTGTCAGAATCGAGGAAACGCTTATCCCGTGGATGGAAGCGACGCTAGATGCCATCTGCCCCTACCTCCCTGGCCCCTCTGAGCCACCGATGAGCAGCACCGCGCTGCCGCCGCCCGTATACCGCTTGGAACCGGTCCTCGACCTCAGCAAGCTTTCACTGAAGGACCAGCCGGCGGTGGAGAAAAAGGGTGACTCGGTTACTGTAGACGCGGACGCGGTATATGCCCCACCAGGCTGGAATTGGGCGACGCTTGCGAAGAACAAGCGTGTGACGGCCGAAGGATGGTGGCAGGATGTGCGGGAGATTGATCTCGCAACAGCACCGGATGTGTGAGTCCACCTCGTCTCTGCTTCACCGCTTTCGAGCCACAACTAACTTTCAGAACATACAAAACTGGCTCCATCTGTGCGCTGCAGCCGCGCAATTCGGCAACGGATGTGGACACCTTCCTCGAGCTGAATGGGCTCGAGGCGCAGGCTGACACCCCCGTCACGATCACGTCGACGATCCCCGGTCAAAAGCTGCCAGAACATTTGCCTTCGGGAGTGACGAGCTTACGGCGGCTTCTGACCTGGCATCTGGATCTAAAGGCGCCGCCCCGAAAGTCGTTCTTCGAGTGGCTGCGTCGCTTCAGTCACGATGAGCGCGAAGAGGAACGTCTGGACGAGTTCGTCTCGGACCCCGATGAAGTGCACACGTACGCGACGCGGAGCAAGCGGACACCGCTCGAGACGCTCGCCGACTTCCGCGAGACCAAGATCCCGCTGGAGTACGTTCTCGAGGTCCTTCCCCCGTTGCGCCGGAGACAGTTCAGCATCGCGAGCAACTCTGCCCAGCACCCAGCCGAGATCCAGCTGCTGGTCGCGCTCGTCGAGTACAAGACCAACCTCAAGATTCCGCGCGTGGGCGTCTGCAGCGCGTGGCTGAAGACGCTGTCTGATGGTGCGTCTAGAGCTTCGTCATACGCATTCAAAGCTAACATGACAGGTGACCGTATCCCATACCAGCTGCTGCCGCCGCAGATTACGCTACCATCTCAGGACACGCCTGTCATTCTCGTCGGGCCTGGCACTGGTGTCGCGCCGATGCGGGCTGTGCTGGAGGAGCGCATCGCAGAGGGTGCCGCGGATTCGACAGCGCTGTACTTTGGCTGCCGATCGAAAACCCAGGACCTCTACTTTGCGTCCTCGTGGAAGGAAGCGCAAGACAAAGGTGCACATGTCCGGATTGCGTTCTCTCGTGATCAGCCTGAGAAGGTGTACGTCCAGGACCTGATCAAGCAGGATGCGGCGCGAGTGCGCGAGTGGCTGCTTGAGAAGGACGGGCGAGTGTACGTCTGCGGGTCGTCTAATGCCATGCCTCGCCAGGTGCGCGAGGCACTCGCGTACTGCATCTCGGAGCAGGGCGGAGGCAAGATGACGGACCAGGAGGCGGAAGAGTACGTCGACGCCATGTTTGACGGCGATCGGGGCCAGGAGGAGAGCTGGTAGGCAGATAATCATGCCCACAGCGCATACATAGAAGGATAGAATGCATTGCACACATCATTGCACACAGACACAGAGTTCACAAGCGAGGCCGAGCCCCGAGCACGACGATGCACGGTTGCCCAATCGTATGTCGGCGGGGAGGAGTGTGCTCGGCGACAGGGGCCGGTTGTTGACAAATGCGGGGCCCGGGTGGTTGTGAGCGTGGGTGGTGGTCGGGACGTCATGTGTTGGATTGCCGGGAGCTGAACCGTCACAACTTTCGCACAGCCATAGCACTCGCTAGCATCGCTCACAGTCGTTTATGTTTAATCCGCTTTGTCCTTCGCTGCCGTCAACTCTTTCTACCTTACTCTCATCTACCTATTGCACCCGAACACACGCACACACACGCAGCATTGACTGACTGCACACGACACGACACGATTCCACACGACTCGATCAATCACCTCTTCCACAAACCCGCGTGAACATAGCCACTATTCCCTACGACTCATCCAGCCTCGACGGCACACCCACCTTCCCCGCCCGCCCCCCTCCTCGATGAGTATAAGTGAGCGGTTAGCCGAACTCGGCGACCGCACCATCGGCGAGGGGGGCACCCTCTCAGATCGCCGCAATCAACAGCAGCGCCTGGGGCGCGGACACGCGAGCAACAGCACTCGATACGACGGGCCCGGTGCCCAGGTCGAGCTCGCCCATGCGCCGCCGCGCGGCCTGACACTACAGCTTCCTTCGCCTTCTGGCCTCTCACACATCCTCAAATCATACACCACATCACATCCCCTGCGCTCGCCGAGTCCGCTACCAGCTTCCTCAAGAGTCGATCCGAAGCAGACGCAACGCGCCGCGCCCCCAACCTCAGCTTCCCCCCTTCTGTGGACGCTACCGACATGGCTTGCGTTCGCCCAGTTTGCAGCCTCCAAGGGCCTGCATATCATTTGGAGCCTTATGCGGCATCTCCTCGTTGGACCAAGAAGACGCAGTTGGGGGTACAGAATGACCTTTGTGAGTGGCGACTACTGATCGGCGCACACATAACGCTTGGCACGCTGGTGACTGCGGCACGCACAACGGCAAGGATGGATTCCGAAGCAGCAGGCAGACGTCACTCATGGCTTACCCTCGGTCACGTCGAGATGCACTGCTGGGGTCACCACGGGCCAGCTCTCCGGCGCTGATTGCATGACTGGTCGGCTAGAAAGTCTGCATCGCTGGGGAGGGAAGGCTATGAGGGATGAAACAAGCATGGAGCGCCTACGATCTGTGCTGAGGATCTTGTCATGTGCGGCCAATCGGCTCAGTGCCCGCAACATCGAGCCGGTGCACTGTGTTTCGAACGACGTGCGAGGAGCTTCGAATCCGGGGCTCTCGTTACCCCACGCTCATCTCCGGAGGCCCGAGCAGCCGCTGACGCTCTCAGATCACCTCGTTCATGCGCAACGTCGCCAACTACACTGACTTTGCGGATATTGTCCTCATCCGTCGCCTCATCAGCATCACTTACTTGATTCCGCTGCCCGCGGACGCAGTCGTGACGCCCATCACCTTTGTCGTGCCGAAACGAAGAGCTGACGCACTTCGAGGGTTCCTCCGGTGAGTCAGTACTGCGGGCCGGTGCCCTCAGCTCCTTGCCGGGCGTTGTCCGAGCGTGTCCGAGCTGGCCTTGGAGCGTGTCAGCTGACCAAACAGAGAATTTGACCTCCTGGAATCGGGCACGCGCGAGCTTACGGGAGAATGGGTAGTTGGCAACGAGGTGTGGAAGCGGCTGAAGTCTGAGCGTCGGGCGAAGTGGCACGCAGAGCTCAGGCGCCGGCAAGGACCGGGTCCTAGCCGGCTACGAGATGACATGAGTGACAGTGGCAGTTCTGCGGCACCGACTGTGCCGCTGTTACACGGACACCCGCATCCGCCGCGACCAGGGCGTCGCTCGTACTCTGGGCCCCGCACGCATTCGCGGGGGAACTCGCTGAACGGCACGATCAGTGGGTTACCAGGCTCGTCGGCGGATTCAACCCAACAAACGCCCCGACAAGGCGCCGCGACGCCCGAGCCGGAGATGGAGGGCGAGAGTCCCGGCCGTCGTGAGCGTGTCATCTACTACGTCCACGGCGGCGCGTACTACGTCGGCAACGCTGCTACGCACCGCCTCATCACGATCGGTGTCAGCCGCGCGTGTAACGCACGCGTGTTTGGTAAGTCCAGCTTACACACTGTTGCTACAGCTGACCGCAGCCATCACGTACCGCCTCGCGCCTGAGGCTGCCTTCCCTCTACCGCTCCTCGACGTTGTGCAGGGCTATATGCGCCTGCTGGCACCTCCGCTGTCGATTCCGCCGGAGAACATTGTCGTCGCGGGCGATTCGGCGGGCGGCGGTCTCTCGCTCGCGCTCTGCATGTACCTCCGCGACAATGACTACCCGATGCCCGCCGGACTTGTGCTACTCTCGCCGTGGGTCGACCTGACCATGTCCTGTGGATCCTGGGAGGAGAACGGCGACAGCGACGTGGTGCCGCTGCCCCCACTCGACAGTCATCTGAACCCCGTCGGATGCTACCTTGGCCCAGATGGTGTTGGGGCGTACGTCACGCACCCGTACGCCTCGCCACTGTTCGGCGACCTGCGCGATCTGCCGCCGATGCTGATCCAGAGCGGTGACTCGGAGGTGCTCCGTGACGAGATCACGCTGCTCGCGCACAAGGCGACGCTTGCGGGCGTCAACGTCACGCACGAGCTATACGAGGACATGGTGCACGTGTTCCAGATGTTCACGTGGCTGCCAGCAACGACGGCGAGCATCAACAGCATCGGACGATGGGTACGCCAGACGCTGCCGCGCATCGAGTGGGAGGCGCGCCAAAACGAGCTCCATGACCTCGAGGAGGAGCCTCTCCACCCTCCGCTGCACCCGCACGACGCGCCGCACGAGCACGACGAGCACGAGGCGGGCCAGGCCAACCCGTACGATGCCGAGGAAGACCCTTTCTTTGCCGCGTTCAACAGCGAGCGTCGTCTGCGCCGCTCTCACACTCAGCACCCCCTGCACGTGCGCAGCCCGACGTCACCCGGCCCACGATCTCGTGCTGGCTCGCGCGCCGCGTCGCCCTCGACGCTTCGTCGCAGGCGCCAGACGGCGAGCATGCACATGTCCTCGCCCGTCTCGCCCGTCGAGAACCACCCGTTCAACGTAACCACGTCAGGCTTAGCCAGCGCGTTCAGTACGACAGGCTTCGACGCCCTGTCACCGACGCCGTCTGTTCGTCGCCGGCTCCGCGCCCCCAGCTCGCACCCGACGACACCCTCGACACGTGCCCGCAACCACTCGCACACCGACATCTTCGAGCTCGTCGAGGGATACATGGAGGGCGGCGCTGCGAACGCGACAGTGGTGTATGCGCCAGGAGGCGAGATCCGGAGTGTCGGCGTGCTGGGCGACGAGAGTGACGAGGAGTAGCCCGAGGTCCGCGAGGACCGAGGGCTCGAGCGCTAGCCTGCTTTACGCTGACTGTGGAGCATGCCTCGACGAACCGAGGCAGCTGCTCCGACGCTCCGACATCGGCCGACGCTAGAGTGGTCCAGTCTCGGAGAAGGAATGCAGACGCAGGCCGCGCCACCTTAAATGAGGGAGAGAGGGGAGAGGAAGAAGCAGTAAAGCAAATGTAACATCCAACCAACCGCAGAACGATCATTTATATTAACGCCCCGACCAAGCGCCACAACAACATCAGTCGCATGCAACTCATACAGCATAGACACAACCCGCAACGTAGGTTTCCTTTTCAACACTGATTTATGCATACATTTGTCTTCGCGTGTGGCGAGTCTTTTGACTGTGCCTTGTCCCGCTCCAGCAGATGGGTGCATTCCAGAGCAGTCTTGGAGGGGAGTGAGACATGGTGGGATCGGCATACCGCTGTGCCTCACGCAGTCACTACGGCGCGAGTGAGTGAGTTTCGGAGGATTTTGCAGATCTGTTCGGCGGCGCAATGGACGAAGCGAACAAGACAGGTGAGTCTGACTCTCGGCGTCAGTCAGACCGCGAGCCGTCGTCCCTGTTCCTTCCTCGCGATGTCGAGGTATTGCCACACGCGCTGCTTACCCGCTATCGCACCGCAAAATGCAATTGGCGAAGGACCACCGCACGCGCCACGCCATGAGTGCAGACCTTGCCAAAGTCATAGTCCCGGATCAGCACTCCGAGTGTCCAGGCTGGCGAGGCTGATGGGGCAGCTCGCCACTCGCCGGTCTTCGGCGTGTCTCAGCCGGTCAGCGATCTTCTTCCGGCTGGATCTCCGGTCCTCTCTCCGAGCATGCCGAGCACCAGACAGTTCAGGCGCAGTCAAGAGTCGTCGGCGTTCCTCGCCTCTGCAGCTTGCCCGGGCAGTGTCATGTCAAGCTCACCTCGTGCGTTGTGTCTCAGACGTTGTGCCTTCTACCTGAACTCTCCGTCCTCCCTTGGTCCCTTTGTGCCACCTCTGACACTCCCCACGCAGACTCCAACTGAATCTCCTCCTGCCCCTCGTCATAACTCCAGCTCTGTTCTCCACACGCCAGCAAATCTGGGCCGGATATCAACCCCTCTTCGCCGTATATCGACGTCACTCGCGTCATGACAAGTGGCTCCTTCCCAATGGAGATAGACGCAGGGTCATGGACTTTTCTCCTATCTCGGACCCGACACTCCACTAACTATGCCCGGCTCCACCTAGGCGAACCCGCGGGCCCTCCTGGCCTTCCTCGCTCACTTTGCCATTTGCCACTGGGTGGGTGGGCTGTATGTCCTTGTATGTCTACTCCGAACGGATCGGACCAAACCACACCGGCCAGACCGGCCACACCAGGTAGACGCGGGCACCTCGCCGCTCGTCTACGTCGCCTCTACGTGATGCCGTACCCAAGCCGAATACTTCCATCCCCACTCGCGTGCGTTCCCCACCGAGCGCTCGAGGACTCGAAAAGCTCGGAGATCACCAGGCACATTGATCACTGACCCTTTGACGCCGTGCCTCAAGAGCTCAAGAGGGGTGTATCTGTCGAAAAATTTCTGAACGCTTATTCGCTCCCTTCTCTTTCGTCACTGCGCTGCTAGTCCCGCTGACATCATCACGTCTCCTCTCCTGAGGACCTGAAGCATGACACTTGTGCGGTCTGCACGTCTCGTCGTGCGTGCCATGTACGTCGGACGGGAAGATCAAAGGATCCAAGGACCACAGGAAGTGCATCAGTTTGCACGAGTGGTATCAAGAAGAGGACGCCTCTCAGAGCTACATCCGAGTCCACGAGTCCACGAGTCCACGAGGGATGAATGACCCGGCGCAACAAACAATGCGTCACCTGACCCTTCCTCTTTTGAGTGGAGGTATGATCGAGAGCCAGCGAAGGCCAATTCAACTAACTGCCGTTCGTTCCGAAAGAAGGCCGCGCCGCTCCGTGAGCCGCAAAAGCCGTGTGCCGTGAAGTCGCTCGAGCCGGGACTTGGTACTAGTCTGTGTTTAGTCTAACTCAAAATGAGGGGTCTACGGGCCACATGACATTGAGCGAGGAAAAAAGTTGCTGCGCATCTTGCTTTCGCCGCCAAGTAAGTCAGTCAGTCAGTCAGTCAGCATGCACTAGTAGCTCGTGCACAACCGCATCGCACTCGCACTTGGTTGCACTCATTAGTGCTGTTGCTCGCGCTCTCATTTATGGCCTAGGTTTTTATGTGCATTAAATTACGAATAATACCTCCATCCTGCGTGGTGGTAAACAGAGACAGCACGCAGCCATCGTTTAAACTAAATGTGTGGGGGTTTGACGAAATGAAAGTGTGTGTTTGTCGTCGAAGTAGTCAACGTCGATTCGCTTAGAAGGCGGCAAAGGCGAGGACGGCAGCGACGATCGAGCCGGCAGAGGCGACCATGGGCATGGCGCCGCCAGAGGGCTTGGCAGCGTCGGCGGCCTTGGAGGTGGCAGAGCCAGCGGCGGAGCCAGCGGCAGAGGTGGCCGACTGGATGGCCGAGGTGGCCGAGGCCTTGATGCCCTCAGCGGCGTTGGAGGCGGAGGCAGAGGCCGACTGGGAGGCCGAGGCGCCGGCGTTGGAAGCAGACTCGGACTGCGAGACGGCAGAGGACTCGGCCGAGACGGCAGACGAGGTCTGCGAGGCGGCGGCGTCGGCGGACGAGGCCTCCTCAGAGGCGGACGAGGCCTGCTCCTGGGCAGACGAGGCGGACTGGTCGGCAGACGAGGCGGTGTTCTCGGCAGCGCCGGCAGACTCAGAGGCCGACGAAGCGGCACCGTTCTGGAGCTGGTTGCAGACGCCCGAGATCATACCGGGGGCCTGGGCGACGTACTGCAGGCACGAAGTGTCGGCAGTGACGCAGGGGGCACCCTTGGCGATGAGCTCGTTCTGCTTCGAGCAGACACACTGGGCGTCGGTGAGGCCCTGGCAGCCGAGGTCCTTGGCGGCCTGCTCACCGCACTTCTTGAGACAGTCGGGGACGTTGGCCAGGGGGCTGAGGGAACAAGTCAGTAAACGATTCACACTATGCGTGATGATAGGAATAGCAGAATGCTGTGCCAGACGGCGCGGCGACTAGTGAACAGGCTAAGGGAGGAAGGACGCGCTCTGCTGCGATGGGCGATGATCGCGGTGTCGCGACGATCTTAGACCGCGCACTACGGGGGTATGCAGGGGGAAGGGACCACTGGAGGGTACTCACTCATCCTGGGCGGCAACGTAGGAGACGGCGGCGGCGGCGACGAGGAGAGAAAGCTTCATGGTCGGTTGATTGGACTGAGTGAGTTGGGGAGGAAAGAGATGAGGGGTGAGGGGGACCTGTTTATAAAGTGGTCGTCTCTGGGGGCTTTCCGCTTTCCTCTATGGGCATGCCTAGCTCGGTCCGGTGCGGGCGGGAGGTACGGTGCTCGCGCGGGTCTGCCATTGCCCACAGCCCATCTGGCCCATCACTTCTGCAGCAGCCCAAGCAAGCCCAAGCGAGGAGATCTGCTTTGGGACAAGCGCTGGGCTGCTCTGTTGTGCCTCGCGCGTTCGTCTGTCCGGGGATTACGGCGCGGGGGACAGGAAGGAACGCAGGGCACGGGCAGAGGCCGGGGAACAGCAGCCAAGCAGAGGAAGACGAAGGGCCTGGTGCCTCGCTGCCGGGTATAGAACAGCAGCGGTGTCTGGTGTCCTGGGGGAGGTTGGATGTGGCTCAAAGGGGGAATATCGGTGGTTGTGCCAGGTTGTGCCAGGGCCACAATCCATTGGATGATCCGGGGACCCTGGGCCATTCCTTGCTCTGTCCCTTTGTCTCGTGCCGGCTTATGCGGCTTCATGCGGCTTTGGCAGGCGGTGGTCGTGGTCGCATGCGCTCCTTTGCTTGCCTCCTCAACGGTTAGCGCGCTTCGAAAGAGCCGGCCTAGCGTCGAAAGCTGCTGCGCAATTCAGGGTCCATTTCAACTGGCACAGAGCAAATGAGGCGCAGGACCCGCAGCAGGTAGAAGAGAGCACCCAGGAATGACATATGCGGGGCCGAGAACGGGCAGAAACGCCTCGCGCGCCTCGTCTCCTCCCCCAATGAGGGCCGTCAGATGCACGCAGGTGGGCCGAGGTCAAGTGGAAGATGCTGGCATGGCACGTCCAACAGACCATGCAGACCCAGGTGCACGGGGGTACGCGGAGCCTTTGGGCCTTTGTTGTGACGAGGGCCGTGGGCCTGTTCAGCCAGACTTGCTGCGCTTCCACCCACGGCGACCAAACCTTGTCGCCCATGACGGCCAGCCGCTGCCGCGCGGCACATTGCGGCACTTTTGATCATACTGTTCTGCAATGTACGAGAGGAAAATGTGCACAGCATGCGTGTGGTTAGAGTTACAGTTAAGCAGTACCAGCGAACATTGCCCTCGTCACCGCTGTGTCCGCTGATCCGCTGAGCGGTGGGCAAGTGGAGTATAGTTCAGGCCCAAGGAACTATCTCGCCCTACTAGTTTGCAGCTGGACCCATGTTCGTGCGCAGCAGATGTGCGCTTATGCACGCCATGTGCGGTGTGACAAGGTGCTGGAACACACTAAACCGACACACTACAGTTTCTTGGCCGGCGCTAAGCAAACAACCGGGCGCGATGGACTGTGGGTTGACTCTGCTCCTGCGTCAGGTGCTCAGCACGGCCAGTCCGTAGGTCGGTTCCCCAGTCACAGTGCTTCCTCCACCAAGGACCACCAAGGACCACCAAGGACCACCAAGGACGCGATTGAATGCACCGAAAGCGCAGTCGGTACGGCATGCGGGTTGCTGATTGCAGTCACGGCCAGCTCCAGAACCAGACGGACGGGCATCGGGGAGACGCAGACGACCCACCGCAGAGAACCAGGCCAGGCCAGGTCCACCGACGTTCCGCACCTGAAGGTGACACCTGACAGCGACCTGACAGCGACCACAAGTTGCCAGCTCCGTTCGGAACAAGGCTGCAGTCGGATTGGGCACTGGGTGGGGAGAGGGCGAGGAGGGGGGAACAGGGGTGTAGGGGCCGGAGAGCGGCAATCTCCCGCGCAGCAACTGCCGTACTGGTGATTGACTCGGCGTCTTTCCGACCCCCATCTTCGCCCCCTCGCAAACAACATCGCAAAGGATCAGCCAGAACGCAGAACAGAGGCCACTACTTCGCGAATCAAGAACGTGCCGAATGTCAATCCCCAGTTCGCCCTGGTCCCCAGCAAACTCGGCGTTTCTTTGGCGCGAGCATGTGCCCAGCCTAGACGGCCCAGACAGCCCAGGCCTGCCTCTGCGGCTTGCGGAATACGGAATTGCAAAAAGGGTAAAGGCCTCAAGCCCTCAGGTATTAGAAGCCGTGCTCGCCTGCGTTTCTTTGCCCGCGACTTGAGAGCGAGAGAGAGACCGGGTCCGCGATGCACACCCATGGCCCTGTACGCCTCGTTCGAAGCCCCGCGCTGCCCTGCCGCCTCTCCGACCAGGCGTGCGGGCGTTCATGTATAATTCAAGCCATGGTGCTTTGGTCCACTCAACGTGCATTCTTCTGTCAGCTTGATGCAAGCCTCTCGCGCTCATCGCTTGGATTACCGGGCCAACCACAGGTCTCAACTCACGCACGCGCGGCGGCGACTTCGATCTCCGGACCTGCTGGCCTGCTGGTGTCCTGGCTGTTGGACCTGACTTCCTCGACCGCTCGGGGCCTTGGACCTGGCGACGATTGATTGGAACTGAACGCTGCATACCTGGCACAGGATACTCGGTACTCGGTTCCAGTCATCCCCGGGTTGCCCCCAACGTGCGCAGATGCGCAGGCGCTGGTCCGCTCCGCTCTCCACTCGATCCACTCTCCGGACACCTGTAAGCGGGCTAAAATTGACTGCGCAGCACAGACTCTTTGCTTGGCACACGACCGCACCCACCCGCCCACTGGAGCCGCTCGGCCACTCGCCGTGCGTGCATTCTCCACTCCACCTCCGCATGTTCTCTTGCTCGGCTTCCCCACTTGACGCTCGGTCGGTGCCTTGGTCCCCCACACGGCCCCAAAGCACATGCATCCTTTCGATCTCTATCTCTATTACAGTGCTATACTAATGTGCGCGTGCCTTGCGCCGCGCCTGGCCCCTCAACCGAAGCTCTTGAGCGCAATACCCTTCTTCTCCTGAGTGCTGCCACTGGTGGCAGCTGGTGATCCGGCCTGCGCGACCGCGTCGCGTACGGCCTTCTCCAGGCCAGCGCGTTCGCCTTCGGCCATCGCCTGCGTCGCGTCCTTGAACGCCTTGGGGCTATTCTGCGCCAACTGGAGCATCGTGCTCGTCGCAACCTTGTGCAGTCCACTCGGCTTCTCGACTCCGGTTGGGTCGAGCAGCAAGCACAGCGTCGGCAGCAGGATGCCGTAGCCTCTCGGCTTGACGTCCTCGGGTAGACCGCCGCACCACGCAACCAGTCCGCGAATCACTTCACCGACGCCCTCAACCGCTCTCGGCCCGGCTGATCCGGCAGCGACTGACACAACAGTGTCCGCCACATGCTGAATCATGGGCGTCAAGACGCACATCGCGGCGTACTGCAGGACAGGAGACGCTCGAGGCGGTTGGCCGGGCATGGGGCGCAGCGAAGCCACCAGAAGCGACGTCGCGCAGTGGATCGCGGTCAGACCCAGCTCTGGTCGCTCGTCACCAGCGCCCATGTATCGGCCAATGTCAGAGCACATCTGCTCAATCACTAGCTTGGACACCTGCACCGAAAGGGGAATTGACGTCGCAATCAGCACCATGGCCAAGAGATTGTTCTTGATCTTGACGTTCGCGACACTGTTCACGCGCGACCTGAGAGCTCGTCAGTTACATGCTTCAATTGTCGCCGGATCCTGGCGCCCCGACCCCTGTGGCCGCGGTTGAATGGGGGCACGGATCACCAGGCGGAGGTTCCTGATCGAGATTCTGGGGCACCTCACACAGACACGTACCTCATGTCATCAATGTTGCTCAAGCACGCGCCCAGAAGACCGTGGATGACCTTCTCGCTCGTCGCATTGATCGCGGGCACTTGGGCGCTCAGTGTCTGATCCAGGAGCAGCTTCAGACTGGGGAGACACTGTCCTGCGAGATCCATATTCGGCGTTTCATCCGCGAGGAGGTCTGCGATTCGGTCAGCTCCATCGTCCACATGGAGAATCAGGAAACGGCCCACCCGGCCGTCCGGTCGTCCGGGGTCCTCAAATTGGGAGTCCATCACGCCCGTTCCGGAACCCTGTGATGCGCCATCGCACGGACGTCAAACGCGTCTCTTGTCACCAGGGTACCGGAACAGTGTGACACCCTGTTCTGCACATGTAACACTTACCGGCAAACAGATGAATGGCAACAGCGCACAGGTCGGCCCGTTGACCCAGGTCCATGATGTCCACGATCTTGACGTACGACGCGAACGCGGCTCGCAGGAACGCCACCCGGTCCGCAGCCGGATCAGATGACGACAAGTTCGACTTGGTGTCGCGACTCGGAATGGTTTCACGCAGGACAAACGCAATAACAGCCAGAGCCCGACGGAGCTGAGCCTGGTCACCGTCCTTCCTTGACGTTGCCAGTGCGCTCACAACCTCCACCATCTCCGCCTTCACACGAGCCGGCTCCGACATGGCGATGCGGTAGCACAGCGTGATGAGTTCGTCAAAGAATGCCCCGTCGAACACGGTCGTGCCGCTGAGCTTGGGCTGCACGAGAGACGCCATGCTACGCAGAGCAACTACAGCCATCTTTCGGTCGCTGCCGATCGCCCGTGTCAAGCTCTCAAAGGCAAGACCGTAGATAATGTAGAAGTTGGTGCTGGGCTCTGGTCGCGCCATTCCCGTCTCCTTCTTGGGCTCGACGGCAGACGTAAAGGTCTGGCCGTCGATTGCACCAACGATGAACGGGTCGTCGTTGGCAAGCCCGATCGCAACGGCATGGAGCAGCTTCGGCACCGCCTTCTCGTAGTACGGCAGCAGGACGTCGCGGCCCATACCCGAGGAGAGGTCCATTCCCGCGCTCGGCGCCGCTCCCATTTCGGGGTCGGTCCGGAGAAGAGCATAGTCACGGAGAGCGCCCACCCAGAAGGGGCCGAGCAGCCAGCGGTACGGCTTGATGACCTCGATGAGGTAGGCCTGGGTGGTAGAAGCAATCTGGAGCTCGGCCCACGCGGCAAGGATAGAGACCTTGAGCATCACAGACGCGCTCGTCGACAGGTTCTGCACATCTCCAAGCTGAAGCATGTCCCCGTCTGTTGTCAGTTCAAATCCAGTGACCAGACAACTTACTCTTGCACTGCTCGAGAGCACCAGTCAAAAGTTTCAGGATACGGCCCATACGAGAGACCTCCTTGATGACACCGCTGCCGACGAAAACAGCGCAAACCTGCACAGCTCGAGCGAGGACCTCAGGAGTAGAATCAGAGGCAAAGCTGGGCGTGAGAGCAGCGGCGATCGGGGCCTGGTGCTGCTCAAGGAGCAGCGCACCCTCGAAGTCCGGGTCCGGCGAAGCAGCGAAGCGCTCGACAACATCTCGCAGGACAAGCAGGCCAGCCAGACGAACATCCTCCACCAAGGCAGCCGAGGCACTGAACGCCATGCGAATGAGGTCAGCCACACGCGAGAAGAGCATGTGGCGGGCGTTCAGTCCAGCCTGGCGAGCAAGCACCGGGTTGAAGTGCTCCGGACGGCCTTGCTCGGCAACAGTGGTGACAATGTTGTGCAGGCACTGCAACGCGAACAACTGCGTGCGCCAGCGAGATGTCTGCAGAGCCGAGTCACGGCTATCGCCACCGCCGAGAGACTCGCCTTCGTCGTCAAGGAACAGGGGAGCGCTGTTTTGAGCCGGCGTTTCATCCTGCTTCTGGTTGGCGACCGATCGCGACATAATCCGCTGGCAGAGATCGATCCAGCCCGAGGGCAGTGCAGCGGCCGTCTGCAGCAACCATGACCGGATAACAGCGCGGACACCCTCGATGGTCGGGTCCTTGTCGAGGAGACCGAAGAGCTCTTCCACAAGCTGGTTTCCTCCAACCTTGGACATGAGAATGGCGTTGCGCTGGACAATCTGGTACAGGGCCGTAATGGCAGCGACCTTGAGCGGTCGTCGGGAGCTGGTGAGGTAGGTGCGGAAGCTGCCGACGAGCTTAGGAGCGTCGACCTCATTGGGCGCGAACATGAGGATCTGCTGCATGCACCGCAGTGCCTCGACAGCCAAACCCTCATCTGTCTCCTCGCGGAACTCGTGGACCAGCAGGAACACGAGCGAACGAACCTTGCCAGGTTCCTGCAGCTCAGGACCAAGCACGCCGATGATAGCGTGCAGAAGTCGGCAGATGACCTGGTATGCGGGGAGGTCACCTCGTAAGTTGACCGATCCAAGAGAGCCTCCATCAGGCTCGTGGGTCTCTAGGAGGTAGATGTTGGTGATCATGCCCAGAGTGGTCTGGACATAAGGCGAGTAGCTCAGGTTGGCAGCGTTCACAATCTGAGTGAGGGCGGCGAGAGCGTAGAAGTGGACGATGGGATGCGGGTCGGTCGCGAGCGACATGAGAATGTTGACGATAGTCTTGAGGATCGGTCCACCAGACATACCACCGACAGACGAGTAGATAGAGCCAAAGGCCACCGCACATCCTGCACGACTCTCTGGAACACGGTTGTTAACCACCTGATCGACTAGCCATTGCACCTGGGACGAGAGGTAGGCACTGCCGGCCAGAGCAGAGAGGTGACCCATCGTCCGGGCAGCCGCGCCACGAATGCTGGGGTTGGGGTCGAGCACAGCGTCCTGCAGTAGAGACTTGATGAGGTCGCTCACTTGCGGCGAGCCCAGTGCACGTCGAGCCTTCTGCCCCGCTGTCTCAGCCTGCACAAGTGACCGCCTCAGGGCCTCCATCGTGTTGGCGACCACAGCCTGGCGACGTCCGGGGTTACGCTCCAGCTTGGACGAGCGGACGTGAGAGCTGAGAGTAGCCAAAGACTGCACCTGACCCTCAAGGTTCTGGTGGGAGAAGAGCGCGGAGAACAGCTGGACACCGGCGTCAATAACACCGGTCTGAGCTGGGACAGGCTTGGGACTCTCCGTCATAGCCTCCGCGTTAAACAGATCAACGTAGTCGTGCTCCGCGGAGCCGATGATGGGGTGATTGAGCTGGCTTTCAAAGGCCATCTCAATCTTGTCACGGTTGAGGAACACGTCCTCCTCGGTCGCGCCACGCTCGCGCTCCCTGGCCTTCAGCAAGCTGGTAACTCCAAAGGCATAACCGTCTGTAGATGCCCAGACACTGGTGAATTGTCCAGCCTGGGCAGCGATAGCAGCCTGCGCCGCTGATCCCGAGTAATTCTCCGGGTCAGCAAAGACAGTAACGGCAGCCTGGAGCAGAGCGGGTTGCATGCTCTCCGTCGCCGAGCTCGGGCCAAGATCGGTGAAGCACTGCAGCACTCTTCGTCGGAGAGTAGCCTCGCGCTCGACAAGGGACGGCCGCATAGTGAAGGCGACAGAGTTCGAGTTGGGGTTGGCGGACTGCTCGCGCAGCAGTTCGGCGTACGCAGCAGCGAACCCGTTGACGAAGTTAAGGCTATTGGTGAAAAGAGTGGCCAGTCGACGAGCAACATCAATGTTCACAAGCGCCGTGTTATGGCGAAGGAAATTGTGAATAGCGGCAAGCGCGCATTCCCGCACGACCAGGAGGAAGTTCCACTCCGCCTCACCACGGTCACCCACGATGCTGTCCTTGCTAGTCGGCTTCGGCAGAGCATTGCGCCAGAGCACGAGCAGCTGCGGAAGGTGAAGCTTGACAAAACCTGGACCAAGAGACATCAGGGAAGCAATCAGATGCCAAGCGACCTGCACCTCGACGGTAGCCTGAGCAACATCGTGGTCTCCGGCGCGCTTGAGCAGTGACACAGCAACGTCGAACACCTTACTGGGGATGTCGCTAGACACGTAAAGCGGTCGGCTCGGGGTAACCGCAACGAGGGCACCAAGAGCGTAGGCTCGTCCAAGAGCTCGAATCTGCACCTCCTTGGACGCCGTGGGGCTCGAGAGCAGCTCAATATCCTTGTGAAGATCGGCAAGGAGTCCGGAAAGCAAAATCGGCAGCTGGTTCGGGTTGGCGGCGGCGAATCGACGCAAAGCATAGGCAGCAGCCAGGCGAACCGAGTACGACTCGTGGGACAGCAGACGGACGAGCGGCTCTGCCAGAAGTTCCAGAATAGCAGGAGGCGCATTTCCAAGCTGCCCCAGCAGACCGGCGACCTCACGGAGTGCAATGATCAGAGCGTGCTTGCTCGGGTTGCGGTGCCCAGCGAGGGGCTGGGCCTGCCATTTGCGGAGGTACGAGTTGGCCCACTCGCGGATGGCCATCACGTAACCAGACTCGGTCAGCATCGAGACGCCGATCAGGTCGCGGAACAGAATGCCGACGGCCTCGCGGGTCGCCAGAATCTCAAAGCGGCTCGTCTGCGACCGGGGAGGAAGAACAAGCTCATTGATGACGTGGTGGACGATGTCCGCATAGTGCTGTTCCACGTACTGTACGCCAAGCTGCGTGAACAGAGTGGCGTAGACATCAAAGAGGGCGTTGCGGAGCTTCCGAGGTGCGTTTGGTCGGTTGTACGGAATGCTCAGATGACGGAGCATCTGGTCGATCGAAAGGAGAGTCTTGACCTTGTCCTCCGGAGCCGACGTGATAATCTGCGGCCCCTCCGCATCTTCCTCAGCAGCCTTCGGCAGCGCCTTCTTCGGATCAGGAGGTGCGACACCTGAACCAGGCACCTGCGTTGCAGCCAGGAAGTGCGCGATCATGCGAGAGACAGAGCGGCGGGTCAGGTAATCGGCATTCTCCAGAGACTTCAGGCCGAGGGGAAGGACCATGTCTAGCGTGGGCTGAAGCTGGAGCACCGGGGAGTACGTGTGGAGGTTGATGAACACCTCCGCACACGCTGACTGCACCGGCAACGCCTTGTCCTGCAGACCGTTGCGAAGCTGCTTCAGTAGGTCCTTGACCTGTGCGTCAGGAAGGGCGCGACCAGCGGAAACGAGCGACTTCCGAAACGCGAGGACAGCATGCGTGCGCAGAATGACAGAGAAGTTGGTATTCCGCAGCACCTTCATGGAGAGCGAGCAAATCTCGGCCATGAGAGACATCATCTGGAGGTGGTCAGTGATTGTCAACAAAAGTCGGCTCGTGCGTCACCCAGGGTTGCGGGTCGGGCAACAGGTGACCACGCGGAGCACTCACATTAGCTCCATGGGCGTTGATAACCTCCCCAATCGTGTACCAGCAGGCTACTCTCTGAACGTTCTCGAGCGCACTCATGTTCCTGCCACCTCCGTCGACAGCCTTCAGGAGCGCCTGGACGACATCGAACAGAGAGCGGCTCTCCACCTTCTTGTGGAGCTTGACGAGGATACGGGCGGCGAGGTGCCTTATCGGGCGTCCAGGCTTCGGCAGCTGCTTGGCGGGTTCGACCTTGTCGGCGGGAACGAGGATACGGAGAATGAGGGTGTGGAGGGGTTGGATAGCGACTGTAATGTCATCGTCTTTGAGCGTGTCGAGATTGGTGTCAGCAGAGCGCAAGAACGAGAGAAGCGAGATTTCGGCCCCCTCGCCGGTGAAGCGGCCGGGGTCGACGATGAGGGGGTTGTCGTCCGGCATCACGGCGAGGACACTGGGAAGGATAGCGATGAGGAAGGTGGTTCGTGACGTGACACGACGAAATCACTGGCTCACCCAGCGCGCGCAGGTGCCAGCGTCAGGTGCGGGACGGACGGTCGCGGCTCACGTGGCGCGGTTATCTCAGGACCTCCGAGATCCTCACCCTCCGTTTCATGTCGCAGCCGACGCAGATGTTCTACGGCGAACGGTACAAAGAGAGAGTACATGCATGCAACAATGAGATTAACGCGAGATAAGAGGAGACGGCGTTTAGTGTCTATGCGATCAAGACGCTTCTGTTCAACAGCGTTCGACATCACCGGCCCTGACCCTAGCTCTGGAGAGCGGTGACCCTCTCCTCACCCTCCGGAGCGTCCGCCTCGAGCTTCTTCATGCGCACAAGATTGCGCTTCTTAACAAGTAGGCGTACAGTCCTCTCCTTCTCAATATCAGAGAGTTCTTGCCAGTTGGTGATTCGAGAGATGGTCTGCGGTGAGCTTCGCTCTCTTCCCGTCTAGGCCTCTCAGGAAGTGCTCTAGGCCTCCTTCAGAAAATCGCCAACACTCACTCCGTCTGCATTCACGATCATCGGACCCATAGAGTCCAACTTGATGGCCTGGCCATCGACTTCGAGTACGTTGGCTGCCTTGTCGGGGTTGGCGGCGGTGTTCTCGATGGCGAGCGGCGCCTTCTGTTCGTCGGACATGGTGGAGGTGATCGCGGGGGCCTATGCGCTCTGAATCTCGTGGGAAAATATCCAAATAACTGTCCGTCTCAATGCCGTCGCTGTCGCGTCGAGAGACCCGTTGAGTCGTAGAGAGAGTTCGTTCGTAGGAAGGTAGACGAAGTGATGCGCTGATTTCGAGCTCGGTGACCACACCGCTCACCGTATGACGCCAGCCGCTGACCACAGAATCGAAGAATCCAGGCACGGTTGAAGTTGCAGTCGGACGAAACCCTATCCAACCCTCCCCGTTAAGGGGCCGCTTTTTGTTCGTCTGGTCATTCAACACGCGCAACGCACAAAGTAGCCTCAACCACACTCATACCGGCCATGTCGCTCGACGCCCCCAGCTCGGCCATCCACCTCAACCTGCCCCCGAGCAGCTCGAGCGCTTCGTGAGTGCTCCCCCGCTTCTCCCAGGCGCAGGCGCACCAGAAAGACGGAAAACGGACGACTCGGTGGACATCGCAAGGTCGTGCGCGAGTACATGACCACCCCTCCACTTCCGCCGCTCCGACTCTTATCAACTTGGTGGTCTATTGTGTTGTACACATTGTGTACTCTTGCGCCTGGGACCCAATTGAAGCTTCGTTGCTGGAACCCATAGCTAACGGCAGGCGCCCCCCGACGCTCATCACCGTCCACCCGTCGGTCGTCGCTTCGATCCTGACGCACCATGCGCGACGAGCGGACACGTCTGCCCCGCGCGTGATCGGTACGCTGCTCGGCACCCGCTCCGAGAACGGACAGGAGATCGACATCCGCTCGTCGTTCGCCGTCCCGCACTCGGAGGGCGAGGAGCAGGTCGCGCTCGACATGCCCTTCCAGCAGGGCATGATGGAGCTGCTGGCCAAGAACGGCATCAAGGAGCAGATTGTCGGCTGGTACGCCACACACCCGGAGCTGAACGGCTACTCGGCCCTCATCCAGAACTACTTCTCCCAGGAGACTATGCCCAACCAGGCCATCCACCTCACTGTCGACACCGACCTGCAGGCCGACGGCAAGGGCCTGAGCGTCAAGGGATGGGTCAGCAGCTCGCTCGGCCTTAACCCCAAGCCGGAGAACTGCGTCTTCCTCCCCGTCCCCGTCCAGATCAAGTACGCCGACTCGGAGCGCGCTGGTCGTGAGTAATTCTGGCTTTTTGTTTTTGTTTTCCTCATTGTACTAACACGCCACAGTTGACCTCCTCACCACCAACCCCACCCCCAGATCGGAAGAGCGTCGTGTA